TGTTTGGGGAACCTTTCACTCAGGAGAGATGGACAGAGGTCTTGCGTGTGTGAAGCTTGAGACAGGTCTGAAGACATATGGTTGAGTGTAGGAAAGCTACTAGAGAGGGGATGCCTTTCCCGGATCTGTGCTGTCATTGGTCAGTCCTGGGTTCATCCTCTGGGAATTGCACTTTAACACTTTGTAGCCTCCTCTTACAGCTCTCTTTCATATGCAGCACAGTCTCTAATGCGTTAACTACTGCGCACTGTTAACCGCTCCTAACCGGGCGACGGTGTGAACGGCACGGGTTCCGTTTAGAGGCTCTTTGTGAAAACGAAAGACATCGGCAGCATTAGTTGAATAATGGGAATTAACTGTGTGCATGAGCGTGGAGTTTCATCACAGCACTATCACTTACTACTCACTGCCAGATGTGCTTTATTACGAAAAAAATCATTTTAAAACTTATGCACAATTACACATTTTGAGCTAAAGACATAGGCCTTTTTGTTCTAAATAATAAGCACAATAACTATTACTGTTATGAATGATTTATATTCATTAACTAGTTCTACTGTGAGCCGCATAGGCTACATCATATTTTGTTTTAGTTTTAGCTAAATATAGGCTAGCTAATAAATGATCGAAACCTAATATCAAACATATTTAATATTAAGTAAACTTAATATAGGTTACCACAAATTACAGCAACAAAATTGGTCACCGTCATTATTAGCACCAGCAATACTACTATACTAATAAAATGCATATAATATAAATAATAGGCCTAATATGCTACACATTCATGCATATTTACAAATTACAGAATTCTTTGTGGGTTTAAGGCAACTTTTGCTTACTTTTTTTTCGTATAACAAAAAATTAACAAAATAAATTATGATGAAACCAAACAACTTACCACAAATATGCAGAGACAAATTCAACAATATATCTATATTTTCAGTGTTCTGGAATTCTATTAAACAAGGCATAAGTGTATTACATTTTATTTATTTATTTTAGCCAATTTTACATTGGAATAAACACGATTTGTTGCGTTAGTATTTGGCGTTTCATCCATTAACCCGTATTATTAATTCAGTACTAACTATCCCATAACAAGGTTTTCCACCTTTTTAAATATCCAAAACCTTTTACAAAGATCTATGCATCACACAGACGAGACGAATAACATTTTCTCTGGAAAGTGAAAACATGAGCCGTGAGATGATTATAAATGTTGCAATAACAGAATTCTTTATTTACAATTCAATTTGATTCAACATCAAATAGCATCAGCAAAGCCATATTATAGTTGACAACTTGCATAACTGTATTTAAATTTCTCTCGGTATATCTAACTTTGCATAAAAGGCTCACACTAAGATTACACACATCGATGCGGATGAACAGAGATGTTTATGTGAGAAAACTGGGGGGGAAAAAATACATCTCAGGAGCACAACACTGTAAGCTTTCTCCAAAAAGTCCTTATAAATTACATATTGCTTCGATTTCCCATTGCATCATTCATAACTGAGGGGGCAAAATCAAGACTGTACAAATAATAAAACCCACAACTGATCACAAACAAAACATGGAAAATGAGCAATATTGAGACTGAGAGCGAGAGTGCAGGTGTGTGAGGGAATAAAGAGAGAAAGAGAGACAAGTAGGCCAGTAGGCCTATCCAGCAATAGAGGAGCAGTAATGAACTGGGTCGATCCTGTCAATGGTTCACTATACAAATATAATACAGTAATACAGAGTAATATACAAGACAGTAAAACAGATCTAAGGCAATATGCTAAGTTTTAGCATTTCAAGGTTGTTACATTTAGCTCTAAGAAATTGGCAGACTATACAAAAAGACATTTAAAGTCTCAGAAAAAAAACCCAAAAGGTAAGGTAAAGACAATTTTAGGAAATTCAATAGCCGTTACAATTCCATTGATTGATTGATTGATTTATTTTAGGACAAATGGCTCTTTTTGCACTTGCACTGGTAAAAAGACTAGAAAACTCTGCACCACCTTCACATCATGGCTTATATTCATTTCAAAATCTTGACAATCTTTGGACTTTGCAGAGGGTAGTGGTACAGGTGCGACCTCAAAACTGGCTATTCTCCAATATGATAGATGCGTCTGGATGTCAGTCCTTGTTCAAGGCATCCAACATTCATCAAAATTGTGATCAAAAAAGCTTGGAATAAAGGAGTACTCGATTTAGTCGACAAATGTTAGCAGGTTCACTGGAATCGATTATTAAATCAAGTTTTTATCCCACACGAGAATGCAGGTGTTTCTCAAAGGACACAGAAAGTTTTGAATGGTGGGCAGAGTGACGTTTCACCCAAACAATGTGAAATCAAATTTGTATTTACAGCGTTCAAAAGGAAAAGCTAAAGCTATACCAAAACACCAGGTATATTCGTACACAACCACGACACCTTCAGCGCATAATGACAGAGCTGGTCGTCGCAAACCTCAGTTGCTGCTGGTACACACAGTATATACTTAATAAAAACATGTAGTAGCCTACTTTCTTGTTTTTTAATACACCAGCTTAAACACAGATGACATGGCGATATTTTCAGCGAAAGCTAAAGGCCGACAATCTAACCCCGATACAAACTGTGTGCAGACATGAGACAAAAACAAAATGAAAGTGTTAACTTATGCGTAAGTCTACCGATCAATTAAAAGGCAAGGAAATTTGGCTTCGTCCTCAACTAGGCAACGAAAA